ATAAGAAACAGCCGTTTGAGTCACTTTCAATTAGTGCAGCGAAACTCCATAGCCAAATAGCACTAACTAATTCACTTATCACTCATCCAAATAAGAACAAACCAACTTGAAGTTGCAATCTATTGAGTTTGATAGCTTTATCTAAAGACGCATTTATGTGACAGATTTCAACTTTAATGTAGTTTTTAAATGTTAAAATAAGTAACCATAATATTTCAACGTAAGGCATTTTGCGTAGAATTTTTTTTTAAATTAAACAGTGTGTAGTACGAGGGATTTGGGACTAAAAAGTTTTCCAGTTGAGAAATGTGCAACAAATATGTGGTTATGTACGTAAAAAGGGGGGGGGGGGTTTGGGGGGGGGGGGTTGGCCTACCACCATCCCATGGATTATTTCAATATTTTTTTGTTTATTAAAATCTGTGTGTTTTCAGGGGTGGAATTCAATAGTTTGACTTTGCCTTAGGCAGCACAAGAAGCGTCTCAGAATGAAGGAATGAGATAAATTAAATAATTAACCTTCTTTAGTATATATATCGGGGACGGAAAATAAGGTAAGTACATTTTTACGTGAATGAAAGTATTTGAAAACCCAATGACGTACGTTTAACAATTAAGAAACTAACAGCGTTGACAAACCGTGGTGCGTAATCATTTCACACACGTCGACATTTAATATTAAAAGGAGAGCCATATTTTCAGATAAGATAAGATAAGATTCTTTTATTGATCCAAATAAATGGAAATGTTTTTTTATTGCATTGTACATTTTCAGCACAAAAATAAAACAATTTGAACACAAGACATTTATAATAAATTATTTCAAACAGCCATTCAGTGAGTTATCTTAGCCAAAATCGGGGACTTATTAGTTCTCATTCAGATGTGACTTTTTATTTTACAGTTCATTGGCACAAACAAAGATGGATTAAGATTTTCTTTTTTTTTTTAATTTAAAATATAGTTTTGTTTTTTACTTTGCAAAATTGTGAAATGGGTGTATATTTTTATGAACTTAATGAAATTTATTTTATAAAAGACACTATCGGCTTCTCGAAACTGGAAAACCCGTTGAAAAATTCTTCTTTAGAGAAAAGAATTCTTTGTCGGAAGAATTTCCGATAATAAGGTAGGAAAACAAGGCATAAGTTTGGTTACATTTTTTTAATGACGATATCACTATATCAAATGCCATGAATATGAAATTTACTGAACATGGTATGTTAAGGTTTTGTTGTACATTTCAGATTATGTTTTCAAATCATTTTATAGAACAAAAATGTAGTTCAAGGGCACGAAAAGGGGTAGAATAGGCCATGGGCGCCCGCAGAAAACTTTCTAGAGGGGGGGGGGGGNTAATATAGTTTTAATGTACTGTAGTGTATTTGTATGGTGAACGAACGGACAGGACATCAGCTTAGTTACTTTCTCTTTAATTTAATAATTTTTTTGTCTATTTTTGTCTAAAAAATTTTTATCTAATCAATCCAGGGGGGGGGAGTGTCTCCCCTTCCCCCCCCCCACAGCGGGCGCCCATGGGCTAGGCACAACATTTCACGAGTTAAAAACAAAAGACATTTAAATTCTTTCTCTAGCATAGAAATCAGCCATCAATGAACTCCTTTAGTGACAATAATGATTTAATCAATGATTTATATTTGGTAATTTAAGTTCATGTTTAGAGGGGGAGGGGGGGAATGTAGTTTAGGGGCGCGAAAAGGGGTCGAGCAGAGGTATAATATATAGCAGATAAATGCTTCTTTAAAAACTTAAAATAAGGAAATGTAATGAGTTTTTGCAATAACGGGCAATCCCAATAACATCGGGTCATATATGCTAGTGTTTTAAAATTTGCGTGCAATGATAACTTGTCGATGGCTACAACTGATAATAATTCCACAGCCTCAAGCGAACCTATATCTAGTTGCTCCTCTGCACGCGATGATGACCAGGGGCTACATAGTAGTAGACCTGACTTAAGCGCCACTTCCTCGTCCTTGCCTTATGGGATCCAATGGCAAGATTGAGACTTGCACACCAGTCCACTATTTGTTTATATTGACCCAGTTTGCGCAACCTTAAAAAATACTTGAAATTTTGACCTTATGTAAAATTTAGTTTTTACCGTAAGAATGACCGTAATGTTTTGTAACTTCTTAATCTAAGCTCAACTCCTTCAGTTCGGGGCAGGCCTGCACAACTCAAAATGTTAAGGTGGTCCGTAATCACGTTATGCAACGCTTGTGAGGGTCAAAAGAAAATAGGACAAGGGGGAAAGCTATTTTTTTAATCAAAAAGAATCAAGAATATTGTGTTGCTTCGTGGGGCGTCTGTTGTGCAGGCCAGGGTTTAGCTTCATGTTTAAACGCAAGATAACAAGTGAAGCCGGGCGTTGCCTTTTTTAATGTCAGGCATGAACGCCAAGTGAAGACAGCGTGACAAAGAACCATTAATGGCGCGACCACAGATGTTAGATATATAAAGAGAGAGTGTTGTATTTTTAAAAGCCGAATCTCAAGCAATGAATAATCTTTACGAACAAACTTGAACGTTATTGGATTTTATGACATCCTTATTCTGTTACATCAACTTAAAGTCGATGTCAAATTCTAATATGAAATAAGTGAAACAAAATATGGGGAAAATCTTAACAAAACAACGAACGTATTGGCAAGACGCCTTCTTCGGCGAACAAGCAACAGTAAATAAAAAAAAAACAGTTTTAAAATAAAAATAAACACTTCAATTTAGTATTCGGGGCGATAGCCATAGGAATGCAATGGACCGATAAACGCTGCTGCTGGGTAGCCGTCCATGTCTTGACATGTAAATAGCTCTGGAATGAGTGGAGCGAATATACGTTTGTTTGTTTTTTTAATTTAATTAATGTATGCTAATTAATTTTTTTTAAGTTGATTATGGTTTTTAAATTGTATGTACAGCGGGGAGAGCCCAGCCCTAGGCTGGGGTACCACGCTATATAAAACCACTCATAATAATAATAAGGGAGTTAGCGTGGACGTTCATCCTCATCCTCATGTCCCTTAGTCCTTGGACCGTTGGGGCGCCACAGATGACATGTGAACCATCCTCCTCCATTCCTCTCTGTCTTCAGCACTACGCACTGCATCGCCCAGTTTTACTCCTGTCCACTCTTTGATGTTATCCTCCCACCTTTTTCTTTGTCTTCCTCTTCTTCTCCCTCCTCTTGTGGTGCCCTGCAATATTTCTTTGGCAACCCCTTGTTTCCTTGTTACGTGGCCGTACCATTGTAATTTGCGTTTTTTCACAGTCACCAGTAGGTCATCGTACTCCCCAATTGCCTGACGAACCCTTTCTTTCACTGTATCATTGGAGATATGGTCCCTATAGCAGATGCCAAAAATGCTTCTGAAGCATCTCATCTCCATCGCCTTTATTTTCCTTTCAAGATCGGCTGGATTCGCAGGCATACAGGAAAATGGAGAGGACTAATGCGCGCATCAGCCTGATTTTGCTGCTGGGGGCTATATTTTTGTCATTCTATATTTTCTTGAGCTTCTTTAGTGCTGTTGTAGTCTGCGCAATCCTGGACATCAGTTCGGGCTTGGAGCCTTCTTCTGAGACTATTGCTCCTAGGTATTTGAAGTGGCAGACAGTACAAAAGTACGCCCACTGCGACTGGTTGTTGCAAGGAGGGGGTGGAGATACTGTTAAACAAGTGATGGACAACATGATATTCATGTCATGTCATGTCAAGGTCCCATAAGTCTGAATCATTTTTTTTTCCCTTTACGTGTTGATACAAGACACAATAGCGGGGATAGCCGTGTCCCCGTATCCGTTGTGGTCGAATTTTTTTTAAGGGTAGTGTTCTAGAAACGAACTGTGACCTTTGCACTAGCCGCAATGATCTACGTCAGTGTCTCCAACCCTCTGCCATGTAACGTATCTGGGGGAAAGACTGGACGGCACCACTCGGACAGATGAACTGAACACGTTCGAAATATTGCGCACTAGATAAACTGAGTCCTTTCTCTTCAGCTATTTATATACAAAGAAATTGTTGAATTTGTCTTTCATGTCATTCATAAAAAAGAATCGCATTCCGTTGTGTTTATAATTGTGCTGTATAAGACAACTTTTACACAGTGTTACATAAAGCCATTTATTTATTTTAACTGATCTGTCAGTCTTCAATAATTTTCTGTACGTCATTTGGAAAAGTGAAAAAGTCGCTATTACTAATTTTGTTAATACAACTTGTTTGTTTGGTTTTTTTTTTTGGTTTTTTTTTTCCTTGGAAGTTGTTGTTTTTTTCAAAATTTAGTCCCGGAAAACGCCGGGTGTATTAGCTAGTATATATATAAATATATAGATAGATATATATCGGATAAATATCTTGATTGTGAAATATTCATTTTACAAACTATATCAATCTTTAAGAGATTTGAGAGTAAAAAAAACTGCAAGAGGGTTGTTTATAAAGGTTTACAAGTGAGTCGCAATATATCAAATTAATTGAATAATAATCGCAAAATTATTTTTGAGGTATTATTTACAATGCAGAAGGTTCTTTGATACTTACTTACAAGACTTCTTTTGCTTGTACACTTCTATTCCTTAAATGGCTGATATTGAGATATTTCTGCTTAGGTTTGTTTAGTAGTCGAAAGCACTATGTGTAGAAATCTACTGCTCGTAATGGTTGGTTAATCAATAACACAATACTTTTATTTAAATAGTCGAAAGCACAAAATGGAGAAAAAACTACAGCTGCTCTTAATTAAATGGCTCATATTGAGATATTTCTGCTTAGGTTTGTTTAGTAGTTGAAAGCACTATGTGTAGAAATCTACTGCTCGTAATGGTTGGTTAATCAATAACACAATACTTTTATTTAAATAGTCGAAAGCACAAAATGCAGAAAACTACAGCTGCTCTTAATTAAATGGCTCATATTGAGATATTTCTGCTTAGGTTTGTTTAGTAGTCGAAAGCACTATGTGTAGAAACCTACTGCTCGTAATGGTTGGTTAATCAATAATACAATACATTTTTTTTTTTTTTTTAGTATTCGAAAGCACAAAATGCAGAAAACTACAGCTTCTATTAATTAAATAGCTGATATTGAGATATTTCTGAATACTTTTCTTTTAAGTAGTCGAAAGCACAAAGTGTAGAAAATTACAGCTCGTATTGGTTGGTTAATCAATAACACAAAAGCCTGCATTCGTTACATGAACATGTGAGTTTTGTACAGTCAGTCTTTCGGCTTGCTGCACGTCGACCCGATTTACGTTAATAGTCCTGAAAATAAAATTGTTGGAGATTAATGTTTAAAAATGTTAATGCGAAAAACCGATATTATTTTTATGAAATCTGAGTTATGATATTGTCACTTACTTTTGAACATGGCTCATTTTTAATTATTTTGAAGTCTCTTTAAAAAAAAAAAATTATTTACTGAATATTCATTTTATAGTAGTAGTTTAGCAGTAATAGACTCTATATATTTATTGCTTGCAATGACAGAAAGCCAAAATATCCATTTGTAGCTTGCTAAAAGATATCATTTTTTTTTAAACTATGCTTACACATGCACATTGAGCCGTGTTGAGGCTAAAGTGCTGGCAACATGTACGTCTATTTCGTCCACACTGCCTTGTAATATTGCTCTGTGGAAAGAAATTAATTGAACTGATTTATTTACATTGTTATTTTAACGCGTTTCTATTTAAATCTTCGATGCAAATTTAGTATCTCTTCTTTTTCCTGTTACGGAAGTTTTATTTTGAGATAGAGCTCGTGCACTTCGCGTTAATGTGTTTTAATATGTTATTGATGTAATAACTAATCCCAGTTTATCCCAGGCCTTCTGCTGACTCCCATCACCTCTCCACCTTTCCACAGCTCACCCTGTCAGAACTCGTGGCCCTCCCCAGCCGGCTCTCTCTTATCTCAGCCTCAACCCCCACAGGCTCCCAAACTCTCCACCTTACACCTTTAAAGGGGTAATAAGGGGAGAGACTGCAATCAGGTTAGTACAAAATAAAATGAGTAAAACAAAGTAGGGTTAAACCTGAAAAAGTAAACGCAACAAAACCGCGAACGTGCCGGCAGAAAGCCTGCGTCAGCGAACAAAACAACAGAAAAAACGGTATACAAATAAAAATAAGAAATAGCACTTAGCTGGTAAGTAGTATCTGTGGGCAGCAATAGGAGAATACTTTAGAATCATATCCTAACAGTGTATGTTTAGAATCATATGCTAACAGTGTATGTTTAGAATCATATGCTAACAGTGTATGTTTAGAATCATATACTAACAGTGTATGTTTAGAATGATATACTAACGGTGTATGTTTAGAGTCATATTCTAACAGTGTATGTTTAGAATCATATACTAACAGTTTATATTTAGAGTAGTATTCCCCGAATTTCATGTTTAGGTTTTACATTGAGTGAAAAAAGAAATAGTTAAAGATCATCAGTTATGCTCTTTGTCGTCAGTGGGGACCCTCTCAAGTTTTAGATTTCTCGCTGCCTCCAGTGATATCTTCTTATGGGGACCAGGAATAGAACTTCTCCTCTCCCAAAAAAAAATCAACAAGACACTCAATATCGTTGTGGTCCCTCTGCTGATAAATGCATCTCCTCTGCAAATCTAAACGGGGGTTCTGACATTTATGGCCAAGCATAACAAAACCATATCATATTTAAACACCAACTGATTGTACTTTTCCATGGAGCCCTTATTATAAACAGTCTTAACTTTTGCTCCGAAACTTTAATATTATTTTCATTGGATGAAGTACTAAATTCCTTTGAAGAAACATAAGCTCGAGAATATTTTGTTTTATAATGTGTGCACTTGGAAAGCGCACTTGATTAGCATTCATCAATCTGATATGACATACCTTAGGATATCAGTGGAACTCCCTACTAGACGTTCGTGGAACAATGTACCGGCATCCCAGTTATGGCCATGCATGTCATCACTGTTAACATCAAAAGCTTGTGGAGACCCATCAAGATCTCCTCCTTCGTTCATTCCGTTCTTCGCCTTGCAGTCGGCGGCAGTACTATCGAATCTTTTTTTTTTATTGTGTCTGCTCTTCCGTGACGTCATATATTTTGTCATAAAGAAGCACATTTTAAGGCGTAGCTTATCGGGAGGTTCCCTTGATTTCTTTTCACGGCACACACGGGCCCACTTATGCAGCGCACCTTTCTGATTCAAAACTGCTGGTCTGCTACCATGATGTTGACAATGCTTTGGCTTTGTTGGCTTTGATCTGAATCGCCCGTCTTTGGCCAAGTATTTGAATAAATCAGTTTTTGTAAAGTATTGTGTTGGCGAGACATTCGAATCAGATTCATCACGAAGTAACGTTTCAACCTTCGGCTTGATCCTTCCTTTTTTTCTGTTCCTCTTCAAGGCATAAGCTTTAACTTCTTTTGTAATTGATACGATTCTGCCAACAGGATCATTATAACTTTTTTCAATATGATCTCTAGCGAATGTAGGTTTTCTTGCCCTGTATGTAGAAACATGCATATATTATAAAATAATAACGGAAAGGAAATTTAAATTTATATTAATAGTAAAAAATTAGGCGCACTTCAACATCTCATCAGCAGAAATGACTAAATTTACTATCGGTATCATAAATTGTTTTCTTAGGGACTGTTTAGCTTTGGAAATGAATTGCTTAGTTCGTTTGACATAATGAAGAACCTTTTTTTTATTTTCCATAGCCACAAACTGGGAAAATGGAAAATTCAGAAAAGCGTAACTTAGTCTCTCAAAGCAGAGGTCGGACAGCCACGGCCCGTGGGCCAAAAAAATGGCAAGCTGAGCGTTTTTCAATGGCGCGGGCAGAAGACAATAAAGATATATTTTTTTTTTAAAGTAATTTTCTTAAAGGCTCGTTCAAGGTAAACTGATCGTATTTTGAAATCAATACCAAATATATATTTTTTCCTCGAGACAATTTTGCACGCAATAATGTTGTTTTAACGGAACTTTACTTGAACAGGCTTTGTACTAAACCTTTAGGTTGTTGGCGCCTTGAATTAGGTTTTTTTTTTTTTTAAATCCACTGTTTCTCAATATTGCCAAAAGTTTTTCCAGCTCCCGCATTGAAACATCACTTGAAAGTGATAATAAATCAGATGTACCCTGTTAGAGGAATGGCAGCATCGTGGAAAACATATTTTATTCGTTTTTTTTAAAAAACCATTTTGTCATTGTAAGATAATTATTTATATTCGGTAACTTACAAGTTAACGAGGACAGGGCTTGACAAATTTTTTTTGTTTATTACTGAGGAGACATGGTTATATCAATTATTCCATCTAAAAAAAAAAAATGTTTGTGATCCCTTCGTCCTAATGTATATTTAAAATAGGTTTGCGTCTATTTCTTCCTCTTTCATGAGCCTCAGTTTGCTTACCACTGACCTATGTGTTTCATGATTACATTGGATGAATAGCATTTGCCACTCGTTAACTTTTTTAATTTTTACTTTAATATTTCTCTCTCTCTCTATATATATCTATATATATATATATATATATAATTCTTTGCTGGTTTCAAATGTTTCAAATTTATATCCCATTTTAACTATTTAAAAAAAAAAAAAAAAATTCCCAGCTATACTTACTTTATCCCATCGGAAAACTTGCAGACAGATCGGGATGTTAAGATGTGTGTTTTGAATTTTATGTGTTTAGAATTCTCGACGTGATTTTTAGCTCTTGAAGATCTCCATTCTCGCCTTTTTTTAGTCGATGATAACATTGAACCTATGCATGGTCTTTGTTGGGGACGCGGCTCTTTCATCAATGCGTGTGCCGATTTTTTCACGTTGAGAATCTTGTCCAACAGAGCAGGTCTCTTTTCATTATTCTTTTGAGTCTGTGCACAACCTGTCGCCTTTTTAACATTTCTGTTTCTGTGCCTTATTCTTCGCAATCTTTTTGAACGTTTTTGACAAATGTGTACGTCTTCCTTCACAGGTTTTGATGCATCCCGACTACAATAAATATCAAAATCTGTAACCGTCTCCCGACAATCTGTTCTGTCAGATACGTTTTTAGGTTTTTTCATGATTTCAAAATGAGTGTCATCAGTGTCCTTATCCACAAAATGAAAAACACCGAAGTTCTTGTCTGCATCTGTTTTTGAGCTGTCAACACCTGAACATTCTCCATTGATGCCAACAAGTGTATCTTGTTGGATTACTAAGTTGACAATGCTTTTATTGCTTTGTAATCCGGTTAGTACTAAAGACTTCAGTTGGTTATCATGTATATTAGCCCCATTCTTAATCAATTGTCTAACAGCTTCATTTTGCGCGGCTTGCATGGCTATTATTAGAACGGGAAATTTTTTATTGCATTGTTCATTTAAACTTTTTAGTTCTAATGAGTTAACCATTTTGACCAAGAAGTGTGAATCGGTTGAATCTCAAAAAGAAAAGTAATATCTGCCACTCCAACAAAACTCTTCAATCGCTTTGTACAACCTGTAGATCAGAGGACAAAACACATTTATAAAGCTATTACATAAACAAGATAATTAAATGATGTCTTCTTAACATAATTATGATAGTTATATACAATTTATAAAAATGACCAGTTTTAACCCTCTTGAGACGGCTGGGCCAATATATCGGCCCAGGTCAGAGTAGGCGAAACGACGGATGGCCGATTTATCGGCCCAATAATTCAAGCCTCTAGATTGGCTGGTTGGTCTTCGTATCATCTAATGAGATATCTTCTTACATATTCCAACATATCCTGGTATTTTAATGGTGGCCTCCTTTTATTGTTTACTAGCTTTTGCAGTGGTCAGGATTTTTTTGTGTGTTGCAAGTAATATATTAAAATTCAAAAATTTCTGACGGTGACACAGAATATGAAAATCACTAAGGATAGTTTATCCACCTTAAAATTGTATCGGCGATTTGTTAAAACATTCAGAATCCACTCTTGAATATTTGATTTTACTTTGAAAGAAGAAAGCTTTTTTATCCTTATTTATGTCTAGCTGGATACTATGTATAGCTGATTGAAGGTCAAAGAAGAGCACCCTGATATATTTCTAGGTGGGTATATGATGTACAAGTCTTTCTAACATTAGTAGGAATCAGAGGCGTCTACGGGGAAGGAAACCCCCGCTTCCCATATCAGTTGTGGGGGCAGTAATAATCTTCCTCCCCCCCCCCACCCCTTTTTTTTCATTTTTCCCTACATTTTGAATTTCTCCGAATAACAAAACTAATATTGGGAAAGGAAAAATAAAAATACTTCTTTGTAAGGAAAATAGGCGATTATAAGTAGATTGACCTTTGTCCAAAAAAATATTTTTTTTTAGAATTAAAACTAAAAACGTAATTTTAGGCCTACTAAAATTATTGTTGTTTTTTTTTATTAACAACTACTGGGTTTGATCATTTGGTATGCTGAAAAAATGTTAAGAATTCTTGAACTATTAGCGAAACTATAGTCTTTTGTTATCAATAAATTTATTAACTAGTCAAAAATTTTCTAACAATTTTTAACTGTTCATTTTTGTATTACTAATACGATTGTCATCGTAGAGCCGTCAGGTGGGTCTTATAATCCCTGTGACTCCAGGGGGGGGGGGCGGGCCTCGGATATCAAACGGGCCTACGGTTGAGACATTGTAATACAATTAAGATAAAGTATTTAACTAGTAGATTAATAGTAAATAATAGTAATTTCGGGGGTCATCTGACCCACCCCGACACCCCTTATATTGCCACGTTCGACCATCATCATCTCATTACCAAGGTTTCGAGATTTAGCACGATTTAAATGTTCTATATTCCCTACAGAGATGTGGCACGGTAATGTAAAGCTTTACAAACATGGAACTCCCTATTTGTTTGTCAGGAGCAGAGTAAAGAACATTATTAGAAGGTTTTTCTTAACCTTTACGCTGGTCAACATTGAAATCGTTACGGGCTGTTGAAGGCCCTAAAATGTAAAATCTTGGTGTTCTGAAGACGAATAAAACCATGTCTCTCGTCTTGAAGATATTTCATACAGTTCATTGTCAATGTTTCACATGCATGCTGTGTTCCATGTACAACACAGATTTCACAGTGGTTGAAATGGCCAAAGACCATCAATGACGTGTGCAGTACCTATGGTGTGGCTAGAGCCTACTAAACACATAAATGACTGCTACTTCTGCTTGGTTCCTTCTCTTACCAGCTGAATAACGACGCAAAGGAAGTCGAGAATACACTAACCAAATTTTTCCATTCTGCATTTTAAACCAGTTCTACGTGGTGAGGGACTTCCTAGTCCAGAACCTCCAGCAGAATATTCTCTTGATTCCTCTGATGCGGTCTTGGTTGACCGACCTGTTCTTCGCCCGTTCCATCAGCATGCAGTGATACAGATTTTCACAGTTTAGCATCATCAACCCGACACAGACTAACACAGTGCTATATCATCAAACCCACACAGACTAACACAATGGTACATCATCAAACCCACACAGACTAACACAATGGTACATCATCAAACCCACACAGACTAACACAATGGTACATCATCACAAACCCACACAGACTAACACAATGGTACATCATCAAACCCACATAGACCAACTAAAGTAAATTTTCTGGTTCAGGACTTTGAACTATCCAAAAATAAGACAGATATTGCTAGAATCAAGACTCCAACAATGGAATATTCTAGAAGATGATTTCACAATTACGTTTTATGGAAAACGCCACTAGTAGTTCTTTCTTCAGAAAGGAATGTAATCTGGTATTCTGTTCAGCCATTGAGGGCCTCGTGAATGCCATAAAACTCATGCATGGCCCAAAAGAATGGAGACTATTTGTAGACTCTTCGAAACTGAGTCTTAAGGCTATGCTCATGCACAAGGGAAACCGTCTGCTATTTATTCCATAACACATGATGTCCACACGAAACGAGATGTACGATAACTTAAAGCAGCTACTGAATTCCATTGAGTATAACAAGGACAGCTGGCACCTCTGTGATGATTCGTAGCTAGTTGCCCTTTTAATGCGACTGCAGCCGGTATATTTAAAATGCCCGTGTTTCTTATGCGAGTGGGATAGCCGCGAAAAGGAATTGCTAACTAACTGCGGAAGGAAGGACTCGCATACAAAATGTAGCTGTTGGCGTGAAGAATATCCAGCACCCAGCTCTGGCCGAGGCTAACAAAATCCTGCTACCACCCCTTCACATCAAACTAGGTTTGGTGAAGAACGCCGTCAAAGCCATAGATATGCCCTCGCCAGCTTTCCAATGCCTGCTTGGAAAACTCCCTCGAGCTAACGAAGAAAAGATTAAAGACGGGGTTCTTGTGGACCCTCCGGATTCAAGAGCTCTTCAAATATGACCGGTTCAACAACTTTCTGCAAGGTGATGAGAAACAAGCGTGGAATGATTTTCACCTGGCGTCTACAAGCTTTTTCGGGAATGCCAGGGCAGAGACTACAAGGAACTGGTAGAAGACATACTGATGCAGTTTCAATATGCCTCTAAAGACACACTTCCTTTTATTCCCATCTGGATTTCTTCCCTGACAATAGTGGTATTGCTAGTGGTGAAAATGGCGAAAGTTTTCATCAAGATAATGCAATAATGGAACAACGATACCAGGGAAAATGGTCCACCACAATGCCGACTACTACTGTGGGCTGACTTCTTGTAACAATGGTCCACTACAATGCTGGCTTACGACTGCTTGCTACTCCCCAGAATTGCTCCCGAAAGGCTGCTCTCGAGAATTAGAAACCAAATATAAGCCAATACGATGCAGCATTGCTCAATCGGGGGGGGGGGCGCGGGGGCGCAATTTGGCTCCCTGCACTATGAGTGGGAGGGGATAGACGCCCCCTGTTAAGATTGACATAATCGGTACGTTTTGAAAAAGTATGAGAACATTAGTGGAAGGAGTCTCTGCTGTACTTATTTTGTAATGTATCTCAGGATATTTGTCTCAGGTTATGTGTCTCAGGATATGTGTCTCGGGGATATGTGTCTCAGGATATTTATCTCGGGATATATGTTTCGGGATATGTGTCTCGGGATATGTGTCTCGGGATATGTGTCTCGGGATATGTGTCTCAGGATGTGTGTCTCGGGATATGTGTCTCGGGATATGTGTCTCAGGATATGTGTCTCGGGATATGTGTCTCAGGATATGTGTCTCGGGCTATGTGTTTCGGGATATGTGTCTCAGGATTGTCTCAGGATATGTGTCTCAGGATACGTATCTCAGGATATGTGTCTCAGGCTATGTGTCTCAGGATATGTCTCGGGGCATGTTTCTCATGATATGTGTCTCAGGATATGTGTCTCATGATATGCGTCTCGGGATAATTCTCTCAAATCATTTCATAGCAAAGAAGTGAGTGCGTTGACGTAATATTGCAAGCGCCTTTATTTTTCTTTGTAATTGGTACAATTTCTGAAGTTTTCCATACTCTTTTATGAGTTTCATAAAATTTATTAGATATGAAGCTAAAATTATTTTTAAAAAAAAGAAAGCTGCTACGAGCACAGCTTAACAAGACCTTCCTCTAACATTGTCTAGCCCGGTGGTCTTAGCTGCATTCACTTGCTTAAACCACGACATCACATCGCGTTCGGTGAAAAGCAATGGAGTATCATTCTGGGCTATACTGCTATTATCAAATGAATTAATTCATTATATCTTTCTGGATTTCTCCAAAATCCTGACAGCAATAGCTATATAACAATAAAAATAAAACATGTTTTGCGTTTTCTTCGTGTTTATAGTATCTCAAACCATAAAATCATACAAATTAAATTTACGGAACAATGGAATCTACTTACTTTTCGTTAGATCACAAACAAACTTGAACCGGGAAGTTTAATTCTTTTTGGTTTTTTTTTTTCAATTCAGTATAACTCGGAAAGAGGAACGGGAAGACGAAAAATTACCCAGCGTCGAGGACTAGATAAAGATGTGCTTATTTTAGAAATCGGAAAAGATTTCTCAAGGGTTAAGGACAGGGCCGTCTTTGCGGCAGCGGGGACCAAGTTCACAGTAATCCACGGAGGCCCCTTTCCCACTGTATGACTCAGGGCCTTGCGAAGGAGGGTGCCGTGAGGGCCAATCACCCCTGGCGCCGATATCAGGGCGCGGCAAAATCGTCTAAAGACAGGCCCTTGTGTA